ACTCCTTGCAACTGGTCTTTTTGAACTGCTGTTGAAACCAGGCCATTCAACCCCTCTGCAATGATTAAAAATAGGAAAGGGGATAGTGGATCCCCCTGCCTTAAGCCCCGCGTAACTGAGAATTGACTTGTTGGGCTTCCATTTACCAGGACTGAAACCAGACTAGTTCTTAGGCACTCTTGTATCCAATTCCTCCATTTTGCACAAAAACCCATCCTCTGCATCATATAATCTAGGAAATCCCAGCTCACCTTATCGTAGGCCTTTTCAAAGTCTATCTTGAACAAGAAAGCCTTTTTCTTCTTCTTTTTTGCTTCCTCTACCACCTCGTTTGCAATTACTACTCCATCCATCAGCTGCCTTCCCCTTAAGAATGCCATCTGCTGGTCGCCAATTACCGTATCCAGAACCTTTTTGAGGCGGTTGGCTAATATCTTTGCCAGAATTTTATACACCACTCCAATGAGGGATATAGGTCTATACTCCTCAATCTTCTGTGGATTATCAACCTTCGGTACTAGGGCAATGAAAGAGGTATTTAACCCCTTCACCAACTTGCTTTTTCCTTGGAATTCTTGTAGGAATTGAATCACATCTGCCTTGATAACCTCCCACTGATCTTTGACAAACTTGAAATTGAAACCGTCTGGACCTGGTGCTTTTGAGCTGTCACAGTCCCTTATGGCTTCTTTGATCTCCTCTTCAGAAAAAGGAGCAATTAAAATTTCATTGTCGTCCTGAGAGATTTGCTGGAAAACCACCCCATCTAGTCTTGGTCTTTCTTGCTTTTCTTCCTTGTATAACTGCTCAAAAAACGAGGAAATCTCCTCTTTCATTTGTCTCGCTTCTGCAATCTGGGCTCCATTTACTTGAACACTGTTTATCTCGCTCCTCCTCCATCTCCCTTTGACACAGTTATGGAAAAATCTAGTGTTGGCATCACCCAGCCTCAGCCATGTTTTCCTTGATTTTTGTTGCAGCATGCTTTCTCTATGCTTGATGGAGTCCCACAGAGCTAAGAAGGCTTCCCTTCTTTTTTTGATTTCCTCTTCCGACAGTTGGACCGCTTCTCCTTTTAGATCAATCTGTGCAATTTCTGTAGTGGCAGTGTTAATTTTGTTATCAATCTCAGGAGCAAAGTCCTTGCTCCATTTTCTTAGGGCTTCCTTGATCAGCTTCAGCTTTTCTTTTATTCTGTATCCCGCCCAGCCTTGGATATCTGCCTTACTCCAAGTCTCTTTAATCAACTCTCTACAACCTTCTTGCTCTAACCAAGAATCAAAGAATTTGAACGGTTTAGGCCCCCAATCAACTACTTGTTGTTTCAGCAAAATTGGACAGTGGTCAGAAACTGTCCTATTGAGTCCCCACTGCTTGGCATCACCCCATTTATTCAACCATCCTTCCGATAGCAGGAACCTGTCAATTCTGCTCATATGGTGGCCACTCGCCTGTACCCATGTAAATTTTCTCCCTATTAACGGTAGATCAACCAAACCCACATCTCTGATAAAGCCATCAAACTCCCTCATTTCCGTTGATATTTCTCTACTCCCTCCTCTTTCCCCCACTTTCCTTACAGCATTGAAATCTCCCATAATACACCAATTCCCACTTCTCCCAGCTACTAGAGCTTTTAGCTCCTCCCATAGAATTCTCTTTTTTCCCAATTGACATGGGGAGTATACATTAATAATACTTGCTGGACACTGTTCAACACCCCAGGCCCCTTCCACTCCTATAAAGTCCATCCCCGCCAACACTCTACCCATTTTGAATTTTTTGGAATTCCAAATACACAGCATACCTCCAGACAAACCCTCTGCATCCCTGGCAACCCATTCAAAATCATCTGATCCCCATATCATTCTACAAGAACTTCTATTTATCCCTACCATCTTAGTTTCCTGTACTGCTAAAAAATCCACTTTTTCTTTATTTATTAATTCCTTCAAGTGCCTTTTCTTCCCGACTCCTCCTAACCCTCTAATATTATAAGACATCAGATTCATGGGGCAACAACACTAACCTTCTTATGCTTGTTCCCTCCCTTGGAGCCTTCCGCTTCTTTTTCTTTTCTGTCTCTTCTCTCCATCTCCTCTAAATCCCGAATTACACCTACCTCATCCTCTGCAACCACCCCAATTCTTTTTGCAAAATCCCATAGATCTTCTGCTGTTTTCCTACTTTGTTCCTCTTTCAAGATACGGTTGCAATTCTCAATCCCGCTATCCCCAACTGAGTCACCCGCCACTGAGTTTCTTCCATTTGACAGAAATTCTGGAAAATCCACTGTTCCTGGCTTGCTCTCCTTGGGTCTCCCTCTGCCCTCTTTGTTCCGAATCATCACCCCTGACAGCTGAGCCTTGAGATACACCGCGTGGCATGACTTTGACCTTTTCTTTCTGTTCTTGTTGACCGGGACCTGGACAGAGATCCCCTCTGCCTCTTCGAAAAATCCCGCCTCTGCCCCCTTCGATCCCTTCTGCTTCTGGATCTGCAACTGCGCTGCTTCATGCTCGTGCTCCCACTGAACCGGATCCCCCTCTTTCTCTACCGAGGTTACCTCCTTAGCCCCCTTCGGTCCCTTCTTCTTCAAGATCTGCAGCTGCACTTCCTTCTCTACGAGCTCCACCTGAGCAGAAATTCCGGCTTCTTGTGGTTGCTTTGAGATCATCATCTGAATTCCGTCACCTTCGCTCACCCGCTGAGTAGAAACTCCTACTTTATTCGACCCATCCATCCCGTTGCTGTCTTCAATCCCTTTGTCTGCCGTCAACGAGCTACTGTGGGTTCTTCGGACATCTTCCAGAGTTTTCAAGTTAATTATCCTCCCTTTCTTTTTTGTTTTTGTATTTAGTAGAGTGGGCCCTGTCCGGTCTATTGCTCCCTTTTTGTTGCAGGCCCATTTTCTCTCTACCAAGCCCTTTACAACATTTTGATTATGGCCCATATTACCTTTTGATTGTGCAACTTGCTCAAACCGTAACTCTTCCCCCGTTGCTTGGATAGGGTCTGAGCTAATTTGGTTGGTTGAACTAGCTTCTTTTTCCCTGCCTTTCTCATCTCGTCCAACCTGAACTTCATACACTGTTCCTTCAACAATGCTGTCAGCTACTTCTTCTGCAGTATCCCATTCTTTTAACCGGTATTGGAGACTTCCTTCAGCTTTTTCAAATTGTCCCGCTTCATCACCTCTTTCTTCTAATTCAAACTCTTCCTCGTTTGCTGCACTGACGGCTTGCCTTCTGTCATTTGTACTGTGGCCCACTGTATCACCAACGGCTTTTTCTTCTTCCCCGGCCCTCTCCCTGTTGGTTCCCCATTCATCATCTTGCCATTCATCGTCATACTCGCTGGCCTCCGACCAGTATTCTTCATGCTCTGAATCACTTTTAAAGCTTGGAAGGAAATCATATCTCAGAGAAAAAAGACTGTTAGTCATCTCTTCCTCAGTGAACTTGAGACAGTACACCTCCCCATTCACTGTAATCTGCCTTTTGACTGAGATGAGGTCCATTATCTGGGTTGATATGAGGAATCTCGCTATATCAAATCTCCTTTTCTGACTTGTACTATCATCCAGGCATATAAATTTGCCCCATGGAACTGCCATTGACTCAAAGAACGCAGGACCCCAAACTTGCAAAGGGGTTCCTTGACATCTAATCCAGACGAACCGTTCTTTTGCCACCATAAGAGGTGACCAGGGTTTAACTTCAGAGAACCATTGCCCCAGCCAATCTGCAGCTCCCTGAACTAAATCCTTTAGTTCTTCTTTGTCCTCGCAATCCATGAGAACCATCTTGCCTCCCATCGCCCTTAGCCGGCATGAGAAATATCCTTCTATATAAAATTTCTCTTGGATGTTGGGAACCATCTCAACTGAATGGGCAATACCAACATAGCAGCCTTGAAGCCACTCATAATCTTCTTCCTTCACATTGTATTCCAATCCTCTCCATTCTGTCCCTCTGTTTTTTACTCTCCATATCTTCCTCTGTTCTGTTTTACTGTTTTTGAGGATGCTTCCTTTTTTGCCATACACCGTCTCTGATCTTATCTGCTTTAGTTGAGACCCTGTTTTACCATATTTAATTTCTTCCTGGCCTTTGACAGCATCTGCATAGGATTTCCCTTCTACCACCATAGACGGTTTTGAGAGTAGACTTTTCTTCTTGGCTACAATCTTCTCCTCCGGGTATTTGGCAATGTTAACCCATATTTTCCGCCCAGCGACCCAGATTTGGTCCAGTTTCACTTCCAGGTCCCTCGCATTTCTTACCTCAATGTATTTGAGGAAACCAAACCTCCTTCCGAATTGATTTCTTCTTTGTGGACTATAGATTGATATCAACCTTCCATATCTACCGAAAGTTTTCCACATGTCATTGTAGTTCCAATCATTTGGAATATTTGAGAAGAAAAAGGTTGTAGCCTGTTTATATATTCCTCTGTTGTACCCCCAGTCATGGTTGAACTTCTTGCTTCTGCTAACACTCCTGTACCCTGTATCCACTGACCTCCTTTGTCTGCTTCTCCCTCGTGATCCTGCAAACTCTCTGCTCAGTGCTGCGCGTCCCGATCTTGCATGGAGCCTGTAGCTTAAATCCCTGTTTCTCTCTCTACCTCTCTCTCTCATGTTTTTTTTTGTTCCGTAGTGGAAGTCCATGTCATCATGTTATAGTAAATTAACTAGACACGTAGATAGAATTTTAACAGAAAGACCAAATCTGGGGTCCGTACAATAGTTCAAAGACTAAAATGGAGTTTTAACCTAAAAAATGTTGGTACCAAAGGTAATTAATTGGTGTTCGTTCATGTGAGCTAATGGTGTTAATTCTCTTTTCCAATTGCAAACAAAAATATTGGCCGAAAGGAATTCATTAAATACTAACCCTTAAGCGAGGGTGGGCATTGGGTACAAGTATATCCATTACTTATAAATAATTTATCAATTTGGATAAGTATTTTATCTGAATTGTAAAAAAATTAGGTAAGTAATGAGTATGAAAATAGTACATCCGTAAATATTAAGTCAAGTAATAAGTATAAGAGTTCAAAATTGTTTATCCAACTTGTTTAACTATTTTATTTACCAGTACTTGTATAATTGAAATTATATATATTTATTATACTTAATATCTATATAATAAAAATATTTTTTAAAAATAAAAATAAAAAAAAAAAAAAAATTACACACACAACCTATAAATAACAAAGTTTAAACCAAACACATTTAAACCAAACACATAATACATACACAGCCAACAACATTTTTCCTTGCATGCACTCTTAGGCAGCAATGAGTACTAATAACTTTAAATTTTGATTCTTTTTATTTTTCTATTAGTGATTTTAAAATCATAGTCTTTGTTTATTGTATAGATGATTTTTTAACTTCATACTTCAAATTTAATATGATGAGAATTGTAAGTCAAAAGCATGGATATTAGG